AAACAAAGAAAGACAAACATGTGTAATGGCAGCAGCGGTGGTGCGGCCTTCTAACGCAATAGCGCCCTTGAGACCGGAGCCATCCTTTGATGCATTTAACCATTTTAACCCCACCGGGCTCTGTGCTGGCCGGGCTGTGCTTTGATCCCTTGCTGGCTATTCCGCTAGTTCCAGCCTTACACTTGTTCATCTCGAGCTCTCTTAATATTTAGTGTGGTAGTCCAGGCTGTAGAATTCGGGTGACTTTCCAGGGTAACATGTCGGAGCAAAAGGCATCAGCTCGGAAAGTTAACAAGAGCAGCTCAAGGGAAGGATGAATCTTTCATGTGTGAGGCGGATGAATGTCCTGCATTAAGGGCAACAGGCAACCAGGACTATAACGTACGTGTGTGTGTGTTGTGCCTGGGAGGATGGTGAAGGTGATATCGAGTTGTGGTGAAAGTTTGATACACAATGCTTTACTTTATTAACTTTGAGGTTAATTTACCAACGTTTCGATTATATATGTATACTGTTTATATTTAGAACATTATACACTATCATAAATCATCTCTAGTAATGTGACATAAAACCACACCATCAAAAGTCAAGTTTTAGGCTAATAATCCTCCCGAAAACAAACAAACAAACAAGTAAACAAACAAACAAACAAACAAACAAGCAAACAAACAAACAAACAAACAAACAAACAACTCTTCACCTAAATTTTATACTTCCATCTTCAAGTGTAATACGATAATTTTTTTTATCATTAAACTCAATCAGTGAACAGATCCATCGGCAGTAATCATGTTCCCACTTCACGTATTCCGAGTTTCTTTCTACACTGCCCCTAGAGGCTTACCGTAGAGTGTACACAGTTAATAATGGGAGTTAAATAAAGCTTCATAACGAGCAAGGTAAACCCTACTCACCTGCCCGGCCCTGAAGGTAAAGGCAACTACATTAATTAAGTGTGGAGACTGCAACCACTCACCTGGGGTAGTTGTACACCCCCAGGCAGTGGCTCAGGTTCCTCTCCTGTTATACACACGTGGGGGATGGATGTTTCCTCCAGGTATTGACAACTGGAGTTCAGGAACACGATACACAATGAAGAGATTTTGTGGTACCATCTGTTAATATTTCTTCTACATCTCCCTAGTAAGAAATTGTATATGTATGTGTGTGTGTGTGTGTATGTGTGTGTGTGTGTGTGTGTGTGTGTGTGTGTGTGTGTGTGTGTGTGTGTGTAAAATATGTACACACAATGTCCGGCTTCTTCAGACTTGTCATTTAATTCTCACATCACTACACAGTCGATCTTAGATTAAATAAATTAAATACGGATCTCGTATACTACCTCAATTAAGTAACGCTTCATAAGTATAGAAGACAAGATGATGATGATGATTCTGTTAATACAAAGGTAATGGAGAGTAAATTAAATATTGGTTTAATTCATTCTTTCATTATGTTCCTTTAAATTTCGTAAAACTGTCGATATTTACTTTAATGTGGACGGATTAAGATATTTTTTCCTTGGACAATATATTTATTATTAAGAACGAGTGATTGAACTGCCATCGACATCTGTACACCAGAATAAAAAATGATCAACAATATTAACCCAAGCAACTAACGTTCTTAAATATCTCATCTGTTGTCTTGGCCACACACAACTACACCGGCAGAGGCAACAGTGGAAATCATTATGGGAGGCAAATTGCACTAAAGTCAAGGCTCAAAACACGAATAACTTTTGGAAGCGAGTTTATGGTCCATTAACTCCTCGTAGAAAGTTAAAACTTTTGCCGGTGTTGTTATTTTCGGGGCCTATTTTTCTCCACTCATGCCGACTAATCACGGTCTCCTTTTATACGGACGCATCTACACGTGGAGTTTATAGCGCCTTAATCTATACATATATTAGCTCTGTCTTTTTAGATATCTCTCGCCCTTGTTTCTGATGCTTTAATTTTAATAGCTAATGAGCTACTACTACTGCTGCTGTTACTACTACTGCGACTACTACTACTACTACTACTACTACTAATGCCACCACCACTACTACGTGTGCTATTTTTAATAATAATACTGGTAGGGATACAGTTTTCGACTGAGTGAAGCAGTAGTCAGACTCTAATGATCAGGTCAGACTGAGCCCTAGGTAGAGCAGACTGAACACTGGGTAGGGAAGACTGAGCAATATGTAGGGCAGACTGAGATATAGTGATTGTAAATTGACCTATACTGTAGATAACATGAACGACTGTCTAGAATAAGAGAGACTTCACTGCAGATCGTCACGGGCGAATTTATGACTCAGACGTAAAATGCTGCGCCCTAGTGGTAAGTCAGGACACTTTGGAACAAACTTTATCTTAATATATGCATGGGTACCGTCACTACTCGCTTTTTAGGTTCTTCCAGCAAAATATCGCGTCGGAATCCTTCTTAGTTTCACGTAAGGTATGAAACCAATCTTTTTTAGAGGGAAATACACTACCTAAGCCAAATGAATTACTTTTTTTTCATACACAGGACCATTAAGTGCCAAGTTCAATATCCATAATAAAAAATAATGAAACACCAACGGAAAAAAACTTATCTAAATCCTGTACATCAACAATTTTGCTGAAGGTAAAATTTGCTTAAGTCCAGTACAGTTTTACTTTCTTCTTCCTTCAGTCGATACAAAATATTCCAATATTTGCCCAGAATCTGTGATGTAGACAAATAAAAAAAAAGTTTCAATTTCTTTGCATACAATAAAGTGGCTTGGCAATCTGTACCAAGGACTCCTTGTGATTGGAACAAAAGCTATTCGATATTTACCTTTCACGTTCAATAATTAAAAATGATGTGAAATTGGAAACAAATAAACCTGTCCCTTTTATCACAAATTTTCTATTAAAAAATATATGTATGTTTATCATTATCTTGAATTTTATAACTTAAATAATATTTACAGTAATCACATATTTTACTCCACGATACACAACAACAAATATAACAGTATATTGCAAAAACAGATAACTACTGCACAGAAAATCAACCATAACAAACGAAAGAGTGCAGAATAATTTATGGCTCAAACACATTCGACTAAGTTAACTTAATCATACTAAAGGATCCTACACCAGGTATTAAAACAGGACACACTGGTATTATTAATATTTACTAAGCAAGTGACCGTGGAGTGTAGAACGGTTTTATTTGCTGCAAATAATAAGAAACAATCGCAATAGCAACAAAACTCTCAGATTACTGGGTCCTAAATCTTGGCTTATGTAGTGTTCGTAACACAAGCGTATAGCAACTCATGTTCTCGTATCTTTCTTCATCCTTTGGGAAGCGAATAAACGACATACCGGGACATTTTTTACGGCAGTCTCAACAATTTATTGCTGCACAATACTGCCGGTGGAAGGGGATATTTCTATCTAGAGCCGCACCTGCCGCTAGAGGCGCTCGTGTCGCGTAACCGGGGAATATATAGAGAGAGTATGTATTGTAGTAGAATGCTTATCCGGAAATCATTAAAAGCAATACTCTCACACAACCGAACCACCAAACACATATCCAGCCACACGCTACACATCAGAGGCTGTTTGAAGTGTACCAACCTTTTACAGTTCAAAAATAAAAATAATTTTCAGATGGTAAACATAAGAGAAAGGTAGAAGGTATAGGCGGTGCATTACGAGGTCTTGCCCACTAATGTACTTCCCAGGTTCGGGCGTGCAACACCCCACTGAGACCCTCCCGGGGAGAAATGGCCTGCTGGTGTCCCCCCCAAACCAATACCCGCTCCCAATTATTGAGTTCACGGCTTTTCCACGTCTGTTAATTGTTCTGAGGCTGAGTCAGGCTCCAGTCCATCCAGTTGGCTTACACAGGAACATGGTACGCTGTCTCCCCCCCCACTCCCTTATGTTTTGACGATGGCTTAACTACTCGAGGGGTGGTGGAGGCGGCGAGGGAGGGGGGGGGGCTGGTTTGTTTTTACAGCCAAGTGCTATATTGTTTAGAGTTTTCGTTTTTCAATGGGGGAGGGAAGGTAAGGGGGGAGGGGAGGTGAGGGGAGAGGGAGAGAAGGAGAGATAGGGAGAGGGAGAGAGGGAGAGAGGGAGAATATACAGCAACACCACCATGACCACTCACTTCTCCCTTCCTCCTTGTTTATGCTGTTTCATGGGAGGAACAAACTTACCAACATTGACTACACATTTCTCTCCTTTTTTATAGTAATCATGATAACAAAAGACGCCACAAGTTAGCTTTTTAGTTAACAGTAAATTTTGACTGTGAACTACTCGGTAACTCTCCTCTAGTTTACGTAAAGTTCCCCTGAATATAAACTGGTTCGCGGATTAATGTTGGTTAGCGTCCATGAATTCAGAGTCGGTGTTTGTGTAAAGGAATGTAAATATTTGAAGCCAGACAGAGGCAAAACGCACACGGAAAAAATATACACATTAAATTAAACATACATGAGTATATATCACGAGAGATTACACATACACACACACATACACACATGCAGAAAATAACATAACTAGGGAGACCCAAAAAAAATAAATCAGAAAGAGAAATATACAAAATGTTATACAAATACACAGTTAACACGTAGCCGCACCCAAGAGAGAATATTAATATGCATATATGGATACATACCGGCACACACTCACGCACGCACTCTCGCACGCACACTCAAACAAACACACAAACCGTCTTTATCTCACTCAGATATACGCACAAAAAATACATAGACATTCAAACATAAATATACATACACTCTCTCTCTCTCTCTCTCACACACACACATCACTACATATTCTCCTCCCCATGACCACATATTCTCCCCACTACAACATATTTTCCTCCCCACGACCAATTATTATCCCCACTACCACATATTCTCCTCACCACCACCCAGTAATCTCCCCGGCCCACCACAGTTTTCTCCCCATCACACAAATTTTCCTTTATTGTCACCGTCACACACCTTCACATACCTGTAATCATGAGAAAGCCTCATTGTGATCCGGATTTAAGCTGTGATTCAGGGTTTGGGTTGTGATCATGGTCTGAGCTGTGATCATGGTCTGAGCTGCGATCAAGGTCTGATCTGTGATCAAGGTCTGAGCTGCGATCAATGTCTGAGCTGTGATCATGGTCTGAGCTGTGATCAAGGTCTGAGCTGTGATCATGGTCTGAGCTGTGATCATGGTCTGAGCTGTGATCATGGTCTGAGCTGTGGTCTGAGCTCATGGTCTGAGCTGTGATCTGAGCTGTGATCATGGTCTGAGCTGTGATCATGGTCTGAGCTGTGATCATGGTCTGAGCTGTGATCATGGTCTGAGCTGTGATCATGGTCTGAGCTGTGATGACGGCCTAAACGCTCCTGAAGCCCGTATACTGTAAATGAATCTTAATTGTTCCGGGCGCTTTGGGGTCAGGGAACAATCAGAGGGAAGTCACAGAGTTGAAGCGAAAAAACAACAACAAAGAAATAAATTGCACAGTCGACCCGATCTTCTATTATTAACCATAAACCTGAAAAAGTACTCCAGCAATTAATTTGTGTTACAACCTTGCTGAGATTGCCTGTCAGGACGTCCCACTAATTTTCGTTCATATTCTCAAATATTAATAACTGTTAAACCCTTTGTATTATAAATGTAACTATCAGGTTTGTTGAGAATTGATAAATATGGCAAAAATACAACAACAACAGAATAATACAGTAGAGTGCTATTTTTAGCCTATGGAAAATGTTAAATGATAAGATGAAGGGATATAGAAGCCCTCAACATCACCATTAGAATGTGTCAAGCCAAGGTTGGGTCAACTGTGTTTGTTGCCTCAGTCATCCATCGTAACTTTTCTTCATAGTCAGTACCTCCATATTTCTGATTTCCTTTCAGCATTTTGTAACTGATAATTTTCTGTGATTTTTCTCTTTTCTTGGGATATAGTTGAGTTCTTTGGCGATACTGAATCTAATATTTTACGCTCTTTTATTGGATAACCACGGTGATAAGGGTACGGTTTATATATATGATAATAATGTATGGGTAAAGTTATCAATATGACTGGTTAGTAAGGTATGTATAAAAGATCTTTGTGTTTCCTGTGCCAAAAGCCTTTCCATCAGTAGGTAGTTGTTCTCCGTCATGTGTTCGATGTCATGGTCTCCGCTCACTAACACACACACTGCTGCCTCTGGGCTGCCCATCCCCTTACTTCTATCAACCATCTTTCCTGATCACTGTTACATAAATACTCTTCCAGACTTCGAACCTTACGTTATGTACACCGCCACTCCTCCACCAGTCGTCAGAACTCACGCCCAGCCTTCAGAAGCCACAGCTATCATACGACAACTTTCTACTACATGAATACTATCTAATGTGGGTCTGAGCCGTAGTTTACAGCCACATCTCTTACACTGTTCACTGATGCACACTGTTCACTGCCTCACACAATGTTCACTGCCTCACACAGTGCTCTCACAAACTGTTTATTGCCCCCAAACACTTCCCGTTGCCTCTCAGTTTCCAATAAACTCATCAAAACTTTCCCAGAAGGCAGCCTACGTCTTGTCCTTCCAAGTCAACTCGATCCAATTTCTCAATTCTGGACCTGTAACTTCCGAGCTATTGGATGGATGTCTCGATACAAGACCAAGGCAAATGATTATATATATATATATATATATATATATATATATATATATATATATATATATATATATATATATATATATATATATATATATATATATATATATATATATATATATAAAGAGAGAGAGAGAGAGAGAGAGAGAGATCCAGAAATGAAAAAATCAGATGAACTCATTTAGGTCTTGGATGTAATATCTTTATATACAGTTACTGTAAGTTGTAAATTACCACACGAGTCCGTCGTCTTATCATCCTTCAGAAAGGTTTACTGAACGTTCCTTAATAACAATTAACTATACCTGAAAAAATAATTCTGTTCTTCCTAGTTCATCTCAAGAACAAAACAATGTTCCGTAGTCAGCTGGAACAGCCTTTGTATCTACATGTGGAGGGACTCTCTCCACGACTTTCATTTCAAGTTCTCGTGAAGCTATTATCTTAGTGCCCCGGAAAGTCTCTGAACCACCTAAACATGCATGACCCATTATTCCCTACACTGACTTTGGCTTTGTTGTAAACAGAGTTGGAGACTTTACAGAGCAGAGGAGGTAGTTGTTTTGTAACGAGGGTGGCGGCGGCCGGTGGGAAAGAACGACTTCTTGTATTTCATCACTTAGTAAGGCAGTGAAGGGTATAGTACACGTTATACACATCATCTAATTTTACACGTGGACAACAGTGCGAAGATACGGTGACCTGGCATACACTCGATTGGTCCTCGTTGCTAAATTTCCCCTGATTTTTATGATTATCTTACCTGAAAAAAATAAAAGTGCGCGCCTTATGAGGCAACACCTGCATTCTACACTCTCTTCTTGTAGTACCACATAACTTTCATTTCTACACACCCATACTGTCTTTATATATCTTCCTTCAGCCAATTTAATCATTCCTTTACTTCCCGATTTTCATTTTACCACATACCTTAGACCTATTATATCCAGTAGGTTATAATTCCTACAAGACCTTACACCTTACACAGGCATTATATACCTACACTCATCTTGTTACCTGCCAAACCTCTCACTTATCAAACATATTTACACGACTTGTCTGCTGGTACAGTACTTGACCCATTCCACTCCCCCTAACAATAATTAAAAATTTTCATCACCTTTATAACTTGTTGGGCTTCACATGTCCCTTGAATGTTCCTTCCCAGTCTGATGCTCTCTTGACTTAGGGTATCCTATACCTTTTGTTTGGTATTTTGAAGGTACACGATTGATAACCTTTACATCTGTGTCTTACACAACCTGATGGTGTTGGAAATGTAAAGGGAAATTCTTCTTTATTTTCTTGATTTAATTTATATACTGGTATTTTTTTTATCTCTATATTTCTATCACTTTTTGGTTATGGTCTTCTCAACACACACAGATATATCCCCCACATATTCCATTACTGGCAATCCCTGGCTGAAATCTGGCCGGTTAGGTATAGCTTGATGACTGCAGCTTTAACCACGAGCTGCAGCATGTGATGACGACATGCCAATCATAAGATTCTTTTTCTTTTTACCGATTTTTGCCTCGAGATGTTTTACCACTTTTATTTACCCGCCAGACTTCCTGAGTATGGCGTCAAACACGAGTTCTCTGGTCTCGTTCACCACTGCACACTGATGGCTGACTGAATGATGCATTGGCTTTAGTTCGACCCGTGAATGTTGTCTGCTAAACAAGGCGACAAACTTGAAATATGTAAACTCCAGAGACCAGGTCATTAATATTTATTAGAATGATAATGGAAATGCAAAAGAAAAAATATATACTGTATATTAGAAAGTTTTGACAAGCCTCGTGTTATATTCAACCAGCGTGGTAACTAAAGACATTAATTCGCTTAAAATTCTATTGTTTACTGCGTACAGCGCCTCCTTGTGGAACAGACGAGAACAAAAGATCTGATTCAAATTATTTTAAATATAAAAGTCTTATGGAAAAGAACCTGTGGGAAGTTCCAGGGAAAAACTCTTAAATGTTACACGAGTAAGATTAGGGGGTGGAGGATGAGGGGTAGGGGGTGGAGGATGAGGGGTAGGGGTGGAGGATGAGGATGAGGGGTTGGGGTGGAGGATGAGGGGTTGGGGTGGAGGATGAGGGTTGGGGGTGGAGGATGAGGGTAGGGGTGGAGGATGAGGGGTAGGGGTGGAGGATGAGGGGTTGGGGCGGAGGATGAGGGGTTGGTGTGGAGGATGAGGGGTTGGGGGGACGAAAGATGGCACCTGAGACAATAGCAATACCTGACCTATGATGAAAACTAATGCAAGGTTAAAGTAAACACTCCTGGGCACAGCTGTAGTGGCCAAAGGTTCACTATACAATATGTGTAGGATGGCGGTGGGAGGCTCAGCTAAACCACATCTCTATCGATACATAATTTGACTTAAGAGAAACCAACAGGAAGATGACGACTGAGAGGATCTGGGTAGACTAAATCGGGAGAGCCTGTCACCCACTCAAGACAAATTTATAAATAACAAACACCTGACTGTACGAGGTTATGGACACCTGAGATATTACAGAAGTCACCTGCTCACGTGTATGGGGGATTGAACTAATGAAAAATAGAAATACGTCCCAATTGCGTAATAACTCAGACAATTTCGTATGCCATGCATGGGTAAATGCCTTCCAAGTGTAGGTGAACGAGCTACGATTTCAACAGCCCCCCACAGCCACGTGTATCCTAAAGACGGTGCTGGACATCCCCAGACCCACACCTCGACCAGCTACTCTTGGGTAAGTCGATTCCCTTTTCCCCACTAAAGTTCCGCCACTTTACAACACATCTTAGTACTGACCTAACCAAAGGCAAGAGTTACAAGAATAATTTTCCGGTAGTTTCAGTCCTCTACAGTACCTGACGTTGGAAAATATATCCTTCCTTCCTTTACACTGTGCCCCCCCCCCCCTTGCTTGTCTGCCAACAGCTGCCCTCACGGTAACTCAAAACTCCAACACTACGCCATTAAATTTATACCGTGAGTACTGTACCTCCTTAACTTCTCTAGTCCTCGTTTACTACATTTGACTAGACACATTACCTACGTCACATACCGGTACCTCGTCTAATTAAGAATACGCATGAGTTTTACACTTACCTTGAAGGAGTCATTACAGGTGGGCAGACAGGGTGAAGGTGGTCGCTGGGCAGGACCTGTCAATAAAGAGAATCGGTTCATCATTCAAGGACACATCTTTACATTTTATTTTTAATTAATCATTTCAATTGTCGAACAAAGTTTTTCCCTTGATTAACATTAGTTAGTTTTAATTTTAGATGGAATTATTTAGTCTCCCGTAAAGAAGTTACTACCCGCCCAAGCGAAAGAAACACAATTAAA